GGCCAGGAGCTGCCCCCTCCTGCTGCAGGTGGGTGGCTGGGCCCAGACTACAGCAGCATGTGCTGGCCTAGCAGCCCATGGGACACTGTGCCCCCCGCCCCGTGCGGCCACCTTCCCCACTGTGTGTGTGTGCGCGTGTCAACATACCTGAGAATCCCTCCCAAAGCCTCCTTGGAGGCCTGGGAGCCATCCAGGCTGCCAGGGACTGGCTCCAGGCTCCTGCTGCAGGTGGGTGGCTGGGCCCAGACTACAGCAGCATGTGCTGGCCTAGCAGCCCATGGGACACTGTGCCCCCCGCCCCGTGCGGCCACCTTCCCCACTGTGTGTGTGTGCGCGTGTCAACATACCTGAGAATCCCTCCCAAAGCCTCCTTGGAGGCCTGGGAGCCATCCAGGCTGCCAGGGACTGGCTCCAGGGACAGGGTGATGGTCCTGCTGTCCTGGTCGTCATCCTCCTCCTGCTCCGTCGGTGGCTGGACCTGGCCCTCCGTTTCCTCTGGCTTGGGGACAGGCTCCAGGTGCTGGACGAATGGCTGCTCTAGCCCAGAGTCCACCATGATGGAGGGGGAAGAGGGTTCACCCCCTCCCTCCAAGGATGTGGTGGAGCTCTTTGTGGTAGGGGCATGTGTGCGCTCCTCCCCGAGCGCCCCCTTTGCTCTGTCGTCCTGAAATATCCCTGACGGAGCTCCTTCACCTTGGCCCAGACCTGTTTCATGGTACGGGCAGGGTGACCTTGTGCCATCAGGGATGTGGTCATGCGGGTGAAGATCTCAGCATTTCACCGTTTGGCCTGGGGCTCCTTGAGCAGTGACTCCTCCTCCCCCCACAATTCGAGGAGGGTTGCGATTTCTGTGCCTCACCATGCTGGGGCACGGTGCTTGCTTTCCTGGGGGGGTTCTAGGACCCTGTGGCTGCTCCCTGGCAGGACCAGGCTGGTCTCGGGCACTTGCTTACTCAGCCATCTGTGCTGACAGAGAGCTGCACAGACAGGAACAAGAGACTCAGACTCATAGACTTTAAGGTCAGAAGGGACCGTTATGATAATCTAGTCTGACCCCCTGCACAGTGCAGGCCACAAAATCTCACCCACCCCTCCTAGAATAATCCTCTCACCTATATCTCAGATATTGAAGTCTTCAAATACTTTGAAGACCCCAAGATGCAGAGAATTCTCTAGCTGTGATCTGTACCCCATGCTACAGAGGAAGGCGAAAAACCTCCAGGGCCTCTGCCAATCTACCCTGGAGGAAAATTCCTTCCTGACCCCAAATATGGCGATCAGCTAAACCCTGAGCATGTGGGCAAGACTCATCAGCCAGACACCCAGAAAGTTCTCTATAGTAACTCCTATCATCCCTCCATTGACCTATTTCCCACTGATAATGAATGGTCAATTAGCTACCAAGATCATGTTATCTCATCAAACCATCCTCTTCATAAACCCATCTAGTTTAATCTTGAAACCAGATAGATCTATTGCCCCCACTACTTCCCTTGGAAGGCTGTTCCAGAACTTCACTCCTCAAATGGTTAGAAACTTTCATCTAATCTCATGTAAGAAATCAGTGCTTCTTGCGGAAATACTATGCTGCTCCTGTTTGGGCAAAAGCCCTCTTGCGCAAATGCTTTTGCGCAAAAGGGCCAGTGTAGACAGCTCAGTTTTGTTTTGCGCAAAAAAGCCCCGATCCCGAACATGGCGATCGGGGCTTTCTTGCGCAAAACCGCATCTGGATTGGCACGGACACTTTTCCGCAAAAAGTGCTTTTGCGGAAAAGCGTCTGTGCCAATCTAGACGCTCTTTTCCTCAAATGCTTTTTAATGGAAAACTTCTGTTAAAAGCATTTGCGGAAAATCATGCCAGTCTAGATGTAGCCTATATGTTTTAGAAATGTCTGTCTATCCAGTGTGAGGCTTTTAAAGAACTTCTAAGCCAGTGGTCTCCAACCTTCTTATACCCAAGATCACCTTTTGAAATGTCAAAGCAACACAGGATCTACCTTGCCCTTTCCTCGCGACCCTGCCTTTTCCTGGAGGCTCCGCTCACTCCATTCCCTCCTGTCTCCATCGCTTGCTGTCTCCCACCCTCACTTCTTCACTAGGCTAAGATGCAGAGATGTGCCTGAGGGATTTGTGAGCAGGAGGGTTGAGGTGCAAGCTCTGGGAGGGAATTTGGGTGCAGGAGGGAATTCCTAGAGTGGAGGAGGGAATGCAGGGTACTGTCTCTAGGAGGGGGCTCCAGGCTGGGGCAGAGTGTTGGGGTGTATGGAGCACTGAACAAGCACCCAGGGCAAGGAGAACCCCCCTGAATGATTATGGGAAGTAAGGCTTTGCATTTCCCCCATAAGTGACTCCTAACAGGAAGCTGCTTCCCAAGCTGGATGCCCAAGGAAAAAGCCTACATGGGTCAGCATGCCACAGAGCTTGGTAGAGTAGTAAGCTCCTGCTGATTTTCTGGCCCCCTACCCTCAGCCTCCCACCTACTACTCTGATTGCTGCACCATCCTGTCCTCAGCCCCCCAAACCTTCCTGCCCTCACTGCCTTGAGCCCCTCCACCTCCTAGCTCCCTTCCTACTCCCCTGAGCTCCCAATACCTGCCCTGACTCTCCTGCACCACACTTCCTCCCCTGAGACCCTCAACCCCTGCCCTGAGCTCCCCTCCCCACCTCTCAAGTGCTTGCCCTAAACAATAATTTAAATGTACATTTTTTAAAAAATTACTATAATTAAGGTCTTGAGCACCACCAGGTATGTCAGCTAGTAACTAGATAAATGAAATCCAAACCTCATAGCCAAACTCTGGTCGCTTTTTTCCCTTTCTTAAAAATAGGAACTATATTAGCAATTCTCCAGTCAAATGGTACAACCCCTGAGTTTAGAGATTTATTAAAAAATTTTGCTAATGGACTTGCAAGTTCATGTGCCAGTTCCTTTAATATTCTTGGATGAAGACCATCTGGGCCCCCCGATTTACTCCCATTAAGCTGTTCAAGTTTGGCTTTCACCTCGGATATGGTAATATCTACCTCCTTATCCTCAGTCCCATTTGTTAACTTACCATTATCCCTAAGCTCTTCATTAGCCTCATTAAAGACTGAAGCAAAGTATTTGTTCAAATATTGGGCCATTCCTAGATTATCCTTAACCTCCACTCCATCCTTAGTAATTAGTGGTCCTACTTCTTCTTTTTTTGTTTTTTTCCTATATATATGGCTATAAAACCTTTTACTATTGGTTTTAATTCCCTTTGCAAGTTGTGATGGCCTGCTACGGCACGTCCAAGTGGCCACCTGTGTTTTTCTCTGGAGGCCAGTTTTTGCATAAAAACCCCAGCGGAGTGTCCACACGTGCCTTTTTGCACAAGAATGCTTGCGCAAAAAAAGAGTTATTCCTCGTGGGGAGAGGAATAACTCTACTGTAAAAAGCCTTCTCTTCTGTCGATTTTCTTGCGCAAAAGCACATTTGAGGTGTGGACGATCTGCCGTTTTTTGCACAAAAATTTTCTAGTGTAGACATAGGGTGGTCCTCAGAGAGAAAGAAAGCAGGCATCAGTGGCATGATCAGCACGGTAGGGAACAATCCCAAGGCGACTTCTGTGACCAGCACCCTGTCACAACTAGATTCTTATACACTCAACTATTTAAAACTATTCCAGTGAAGCTGCTGCTTGGTTACACCCAATTTTAGGACAAGTAGGCGCTTTCAGGAATAGAACAAGTGGTTGGTACCCTAATATCATCCATTGGGGTTAGGTGTGAGCAAGGCAGTATCCAACAAGGATAGACCTGTTTGTAAGAGTTCAGTAATGGCCTGTTTTGTCCATGATACTTCCAACTGACTTCAGTGGGAGACTGGAGGGTATGTAAGTTAGACACGACCTGTCCCAGCATGGGAAAATAGAATTTATAGCAAAATGCTGGTCTACTTAGCATATACAAAAGGGGTCTCCCATAGTTTGCCTTTACCCGACTCTTCTATCTCAATAAGAATACCTGAATTATTTTAACACTCGCATAGCACAATCCATGTAAACAATGATTGTCCTTGTGCACAAGCTTCCAAATGACTAAATCATGTCTCCCCCCCCCCACTTACAAACAACATAACTTCTGTTCAATAAGTCTTTGCCTATATGTGCAAAAAACTATTCCCTTCCCCTCAAAAAAAACCTAACAAACCCTTTAAACTAATCAAGCCATTTCTTCTATGGACTGGGTAAGAAGATGGAGAACAATCATTCTCTCTAGCTGGAAATACTATGCTATTATGATAGGAGTTCCCAGAAAGAGGTGCTCCCACTGGCTAATAAATGGGAATTCCCACTGTGTCACAACAACTCTCTCTCTCTCTCATGCATGAGAATGGCTTGCACAATGGGATTTTACTCAATAGGCATTCTCTGTGGGTTTCCTTCGGAGGGACGTTTTGACTGAGTGAAGAACTAAAGTACTGGTTCTACATCTTATAACAGCATTTTCCAGTTCAGGTAAGTGATTACACTTTTCTCACCAACAAACGAACAAGCTATAAAACCCACATTTAGGCTAAGCTGTGGTTAGATGGGACAGTACAGAGCCACTATGCCCCCAAAGGAACACTGCAGAGATTGTGTCACAGGCAGCTACAATCCCTCTGACGATATTCCAGGCGCGCGCGTGCGTGCGTGTGCGTGAGCTGAACTTACCACTCTCCATTTCTTTCCCTCTAGTTCCAACAAAGGAGAATGGCTCTGCTGAGGAGAAGTTTTGGGAGAAGTGGGGCTTGGAGTATGGCTTTTTGTAGGAGAACGAACTGGCGGACCCTGGGCACGTAGGTTTGGATTCTTATGGGTCTTCTGGTCATCTGAGACATGTCGGAGCCCTAAAAATCCAAACAAAAATAAACAAAGCAGTGCTAATATGCAGAAGAGCTCTCTCAGCACTAGGCTCTAGGAAAGTTCATATTTAAAAAGGGAAGGAAATACCATGACTAAGGTTGTTACAATCATACTAAAATGTGCAACACACTTATGCAGGGCTGTGAAAATTGGGATACTTATTTGGGTGCATCAATAAGAATTTAGATGCCTAACTTTAGTATTCTAAGCTTAAAAAAATACTGGCCTTGGCATGTATAGATGTGAATGAAGGGAGAATCTGGCTAAGTACTTGTAGCAGTAGCTAGTATCAATTGGCTGAAGACTGACAAGTTGAACTATTTTCCGCTAACCTTTGGTAATTGCCTCTCCCTGGTTAAGCTGGGCAAACAAGGCTGAGCGAGATGTGCTTGTTCCATCCTTTCCATTTTCTGCATCAAAGACAGGAGGAGGTCCAGGCGGCAGCGGTGGAGGTGGTGGTGGTGGTGGAAGGCACTGCCCACTTGTTAGAGTGGACAACACAGATGCTGTTGATGCAGTCGGGCCCTATGTGTATGAGAGATGGAAAATATGTTAATGCATTTTTTTCAGAAAACCCTCTATTATGGAATCTCTTCTTTTCATCCTTTAATGATGTTGGGAGTTGGGATTTAGGCCAGCAGTAGGCTTAGGGAAAACTGCTGGCACCAATGAATGAACTGACATATTAAGAAAGCTTTGTAGTTTAAGGAAGAAGCTTTCTTCTTTCCCCAAGTATTCCGATAAAATAAAACCCACAGTGACGCACATTCAGTATAGGCCAAAAAAGCATTTCAAACAGGGTGGAACTTGGCCAGTCAGTTAAAAACATGCAAAGTGGGCATAAAATATGGATTTTGAACATACTTTGCAACATGGTGTAAGACTGTTCAATCTGATTCAGGCTGTTAATTTCAACACTGGATGTCAGAATTCTGATTTCTTTGTTTTATGTTTTTAAATGTCTGTTTCTAACACAACAGCTCCAGGTGCATTCGTAATACAAGTTATAGACACATACATTAATGAGGGACATGGTTATAGTGTGAATAAAAGAATCTTTCTAGCAACTGATTTATATGACATTGCTCTGTTCAAATTAGACATCTATGCCAGTGAAAAGAAACAGAAAGGCTTTATTAATAACAAAAATCAGATCCTGGTCTTAGATTTCCAATTTGCCTGACTTGTAGGAAAGACAGGAAGGATCTAAGGAATGGGGATTCATTTTTTCAGCTTCACCCAGTGTCATTATGATTCCAAGAATCCTTCATCTGGACAACACCTCAGCAGAATAGGATAAAGTCTATGTTTTATACAGGATCCATTATGGAAGAGCCAAAGTTTGGGACCTACACCTGAAAACGTCATTGGTCAGAGGTTATTACCTAGAAGCAGCAGCCCAACCTGGATCTATGGAAGTATTATGAGGCCCTCTGCACCAATTATGTCTTGCATGGGGGATTGCTAGGATTAGGAGAATGGATGGATGGGGGTGCCTGGCATCTGTGTGGGGCCAGCACAATGCAGTAGGGAAGGCCACAATGGGATGAGGTATCTAGAAAGGCCAGGGATCCACATGTGAGCAAAGTCTCTGCATTATTCCAGCCCATTGACTAGAGGAGAAGGCAAGAGGGTGAAGGCTAGGCTGGGCTGCACAAAATCTGAGATGGTAAGGTCGATTTTACCATCACAGCCACTCCCCTCCCATAGACTGCAGATCCTTGAGCCTTAGGTGGGATGGGTAAATTTCTCCATTTAAGAAAACAGATCTTTTTGTTTGGTTTTGGGATTATTCTTCCCCCATGTTTCCCAATAGTCTCAGGCTATGTCTACACTGCAGGCTTTTTGTACAAGAAGCTGTTTACAGAAGAGATCTTCCGCAAAAACTTACTGTGTAAAAGCGCGTCCACACCTCAAAAGCGCATCGCAAAAGTGATACGCTTTTGCGTAAGAGAGCGTCCACACTGCATGGATGCTCTTGTACAAGAAAGTTCTGATTGCCATTCACAGAATGGCCATCAGAGTACCTGTGCTTCTTCCGATATGGGTTTCTTATGCAAGAAACCCCTGTTGAGTGGCCACTCTTGCACAAAAAGAAGTTATTCCCTGTAGAAAGAGGTATACCTACACTGCAAAAAGCCCTCTGTTCTGCCGTTTTACTGTAAATTTTCTTGCACAAAAGTGCACGAAAGGTGTGGACGCTCCAGGGGTTTTTGCGCAAAACCCCTGTAGTGTAGACATAACCTCACAGTCTATAATAGGCCTGATCCAAACTCCATTGCTGTCAATGGGAGCCTTGCACTTGAATTCAGCAGACTTTGGATCAGGAAGTTCCCTTATAACAAGAAGGAAGCATGCTGGCAATTGTGTCAGAAATAGAAAGCACGTCAATTATTTGACAAAACTATGATGACAATATATTCCACCAACAGCACCTCCATAATGTACTTTCCCAATCGCTTCACGCAGGGAAAAGATCATTGCATACAAGTTATGACTCATGTAGAAAGTAAAGGATTTATCAGCATTGAATTTCACTTGCCATTGTGTTGCCCAGTCACCCAGTTATGTGAAATCCCTTTGTAACACATTGCAGGCAACTTCTGGTTTAACTACGTCAGATACATTTTGTATCATCTGCAGATTTTGCCACTGCACTGTTTACCTTTCTTTCCAGATCATTTTTGAACATGTTGAACAGCACTGGTCCCAGTACAGACCCCTTGGGGACACCACTATTTACTTTTCTCCATTTTAACCAGTTATTCCCACTGTTTCTTTTATATCTTTTGACCTGAGTGCCTGATAATGCTTTCAGGATCACCTAATGATTCCTAAACGTCTCAGAGGGGTAGCCATGTTAGTCTGTAACTTTAAAAAATGGGTAGTCTTTATAGCAGTTTTAGAGACTAACACACACACACACACATATATATAATCATGAGCTTTCGTGGACACAACAAAGTGGGTTGTGCTCACAAAAGCTCATGACACAATATACATATCTGTTAGTGTCTGAGGTGCTGCAGGACTACTCTGTTGGTGTCAGAGGTGACACCCAATTACCACAAAGATGGGTCCTCTTTTCTGGAGGCAGGAGTAAGAAAGCTCTGGTTCCCCAAGAACTGCCATAGCATGCCAGGCTCTTCATGCTGCAGAAGCTCTGACATACTTCTGGGCAAGGGGGCTGGGAGCACCCAGTCAGACTGGATGTGCACGAAAGCCTCTGCATCCCTAACCTGCCCGGGCAATAGGCTTTGTTCTGCTTCCAGATTTGCTGGTTCGGAAGGCAGCTTTGGAGTGGGCTAGGTTAGCGGGTTCACTGGATCCGTATGCTGCATAGGGAATCACACTGGGGCAGCAGTCACCGTGTGAACTGGAGCAGGAGCTAGGTAAGGGGTATGTTACCTCTGGGTGACCTACCGCTAAACTGGGATGACTTCCATTCCTATTCCATTTCCTGCAAAGCGCAGGTTCCTTGTCATTGTTTCCCTCTGTTAAATGTTTTCCTGGTATTCTTCCATGTCGACAATTGCACTTGTCATGAGGCTCCTAAGTGACTGCACACAGGAGGGGATGGTGTCAATGAGACTCTAGGGAAGATATTAAAGCCTCTGAACACAGACTAAGTTTAGGGAAAAAACTCAAACAAGTCAAATCCCTATTAGCAGGTCGTCTCTTCTGGTGGCTTCCCATGTAGCCACATTTGAGGCAGCAATAAGCTGGTGCAAGACAAGCTGATCTCAGAGCTCACCGGGGAACGGTCTGACACTTGCCAATATGGCTCACCCCATAGAGGGCTAATTGCTTGTGGCCCAGGAACATACAGATAGGATGAACCAGTAGTTGTGTTAAGTAAGTGAGGAGGCATTTCTGGAAATGTGTGTACAGTAAAACTCCATTGGTCTGGCATCCAATGCTCCAGCACTCCTGATGGACCGGCACCATCAGGAACCCGGAAGTGCTCTGGCTGCTGGACAATTGGAACTGCTCTGCGCCCGGCTTCCCCAATTCAGCTGCTGCTGAAACTGACCAGCAGCTGAATCGGGTAAGCCGGGAGCAGAGCAGCTGGGGTGCTGCTGGGTTGGTCTCGTAGCGCTGCCCCTCGGGGCTGCGGGACCAATCCTACAGTAAACGTCCGATAATCTGGCACCTTTAGGACCCGGGGGTGCCAGATTATAAGATATGCTGGGCTATCGGAAGGGAGGGGGCTATGAAGGGTCTGGGGTAGCATCCCTGGGTCCTAAAGGTGCCGGATTATCGGAAGTTTACTGTACTTTAACAAGAACATCCTTTTCCCTGTAAAAACAAACTACCTCAGATTACTTGTCCCTCGAGATGGTTTAAGGAGTTCTATGATATGCAGAAGTGTATGCCACACATCCATTGAGGGGTATATCCAACTGGACTTTCAAAACCATACATTTGCTGAAATTACTGTGTTCATCTAAGTGATATGGCACATGGTAGGAAGCTACAGTTTGCGATTGCTTTAGATTTGTCTGTATCAGAAGTTTGAAGCACTACCTAAGGAAAACTCATTTTTCAAAGCATTGAATGTTACAGAAACTTTTGAAAATGTTACATAATCTTCTAGCCTATAGTTAAAATTAGTACCAGCTTGTGCTTTAGTAAGTTTTAAAAGTAAAGTATTTTGGTGGCTAAGAAACATCATTATAGCCTCAGCAATTTAATCAAAGTATTAAAACTACAAAGTTTTGCAATGAAATGCCATCTCTGAAAACTTGGAACATTAGAGTTATACTTAGCTGCTTAAGCCTCTCTTACTGCTAAATTAGGTGGTAGTTTAAGTCTGTGGTCTCACCTAGCTCCACTGCTCTGAATTTAATCCTCCCTGAAAGCAGAAATTACCAATTTCAAGGGTTCAGCTGCCTTCAGTGAAGCTAGTTTACACTGAACATTTGTGCTATTGCCTCACGTTAGCTAAATTCATGTAACCGTGGCTGCCCTATACTGACACACAAAGGCTGCATCTAGATTGGCATGATTTTCTGGAATACTTTTAACGGAAAAGTTTTCTGTTAAAAGCATTTTCAGAACAGAGAGTCTAGAGTGGCACAAAAAAAGCACTTTTTGCGGAAAAGCGTCCGTGCCAATCTAGACGCGCTCTTCTGCAAAAAAGCCCCGATCGCTATTTTCGCAATCGGGGCCTTTCTTTGCAGAAAACAAATCTGAGTTGTCTACACTGGCCCTTTTGCGCAAAAGCTTTGCGCAAAAGGGACTTTTGTCCGAATGGAAGCAGAATAGTATTTCCGCAAGAAGCACTGATTTCTTACAGTAGGAAGTCAGTGCTTTTGCGGAAATTCAAACGGCCAGTGTAGACAGCTGGCAAGTTTTTCTGGAAAAGTGGCTGATTTTCTGGAAAAACTGGCCAGTCTAGACACAGCCAAAGGCTACATCTATACTGCACCTCTCTTCCACAAAAGCTTATGCAAATGAAGCGCAGATTAGCATATTGCCAGGTTTCATTTGCATAATTAATTAGGGGTTGTTTTTGCCCAAGA